ACAATGCAGACTTCAGAGTATCAGAAGTATTTATTAAGGGTTTTTTTATTATAAAAATTATTTTTTATTTTATTATATTTATTTGTAACAACTATGAGTTAAAAATATCATTTCGTAGAATTTACTAAAAATAACATATCAAAAGATTTCATGTAAAATGATTTATTAAACCTTATAGAAGTATAAGATAGGTAAAAGTTTAATTTTGTAACAAATGAACGTAACAATCCCTATTTTTAGACATGTAAAGTAAGACAAGATTGTGTATTGTTAGGAAAGAAATTTACGAATAAACAAATTTATTAGATACCTATATGATAACTAAAGATTTTTGTATTTATGCCATCTAGCGTCAATTATACTTACCACCTTGAAAGTTAATAAGTTTTAGTTCGATAAAACGACTTTTATTACCTATATTATGTAATAAATGGCGCTATTACAAATCTCAAATTGAAAATTTTCGGTTCCCAATTATAGATCTCACAGACTCACAGAGTACTGGAGCCTGAAAAGATCCATTTGAATGATCGATCCGAATGTACCAGTACGCGTGATGAAATGTACGGTTCGTAATGTAATGTTTCGGTCGCTAGAAATGAATGATTGACTCATGTCTACTATATACCTAGTCGGGTCGTAAGTTCAGTAAAAACTTTTTTTTTTTAAAATACGGGTATAATGTATTGATATGAAAAGGGAATAGTTAAACGATAAATAGTTCTCGCGGCATAAAAGTCCGAGAGCTACAAAAATAAACTATGAATGGCTTTAATCAAGTTAGCTTTATAGGATATGACATGAGCGTGAACATTGTTTGACATCTATAAAACGTTATTGCGATATTAATGACGTATGGCTCCATCTATTAGTGAAGTCCGTCACTAATTTTAATGATGTATGACAACTTTTTTTTTCATAATATTTACTAGATTGCTCTACAACATGCTATGAAATAGAATACAATAGAATATTTTTTATTCAATATGGATTATAAATAATTTTAATAGAAACCAAAATTTTACTTTCAAAATTCTATTAGACGTGTCACTCTTTCTGCCGCAGTCTTTACGTAAAAAACGTTCAATGTATTTGTATAATTTTATTTTTAAATTCATTGTTTCATAAATATTTTTCTTTCCATAAATGTTCTTCTTTCATATATATGTCGATTTAAAATATTTAAAGTTAAAATAGCGTAGTAAGGTTCCTTGTCATTTTTAAATATGGGACATAAAGTGAAACTCGTTACGAAGAGTAAAAAGCGTTCATATAAATCAAACGCCCAACATTTGAACGATATTAAAAGGTTTTACTTATTATTATAACATTTAATTATTATTTAATACTAAATATTTATTTTTACAACAATAAACCTATGAATTTAAGCAACGTAGTTTAATACAGCTGTGTATTTGGTACCTAGCGGCATGGATTTGCAGTTTGCATTCGAGAGTGCCCGGGTTCGATTCCAGGAATATGAACCCAATTTTTTTGTCATTTATATATTTAGATACATTACTTATTACTATAACATTTAACTATTATTTATTACTAAATCTTTATTTTTACAACAATTAATCTATTAATTTTAGCAACGTAGTTTATTACAGTTGTGTATTTGGTACCCAGCGGCGTGGATTTGCACTTTGCATTCAAGAGTGCCCGGGTTCGATTCCAGGAATATGAACTCAAATTTTCTTTTGTGTTTTTTATATATTTAGTATTATATATTTAGATACATTTATTAATTAGTTCATAATTAAAAAAAAAATTAAATGTATTTTTTAAGCCTATGAATTTTAAATACATAGTCTATTACAGTACTGAGCTAAGGTTGCCAGGTCTTTAAGCCGGAAAGCCGGACAGACCAGCAAGCTTAGCCGGACATTTTGTGAAAAGGTCGGACAAATTAATTTTTTATTCTTAGTATAACATGCCAATTTTTGTAAAAGTAAAACACCGCTTTTTATTATTTACCATAAAATCTGCTTAAACTCTTAATAAAATAACAATAAAATTGAATAAATCAGACTTCTTTACTATTTATCATTCAATATTCATTACAATATTGAATGATAAATAATATTGAAAAATTATGTATGTAAATTATGTATGGATGTACATGAAAAATTGTCAAATTTAAAAAACCTAAACCTAATAGCCGGACAGGCCGGACATCTAATTTGGAGGGAGACGCAACCAAAAAGTTAGACTGTTATCCGGACGCCTGGCAGCCCTAGTAGTGACTAAGTATTCAAACAACAACAAACAACGTGTATTTGGATTCTCAGCTTGCACTCAAGGGTGCCCAGGTTCGGTTCCACGAGTGTAAAGTCAAATTTTCTTTTTGTTTTTTATATATTTAGTATTAGTTGGTAGTTTAGTATATTAAGATAAATTAATGAAACACTTTTATAAATAGATAAAAAAGTTTGAAATGTAATATTTTTTATCGGAGAAAGAAGGTTGAAAATATAAACACGAAAGTTATTCGTTAGTACCTACAACTTTTTAAGCTATAATAATATTAAGAAAAACTAAAAGAAAATTGCCATTGAGTTATTACGTACTACGTACTATAACGACACTGCATTCAGCTACTATGTTCCACTCAACTGCGGTGCATACACCGCACTTTAATCAGTCACTCGCTAGGTGTTTGTACTTTGTAGAGTTGTCACGTGTTGTGTTGATTTAAAAAAAAACTCTTCATAAAAATATAGCCGTTGTGCGTTAAATATTGCACAAATAATTCAAGAAATGTCAGTAAAAACCAAGGAATTACTTTCCATCGGTTAATGAGATACTTAATCAATAAAACAGTATTATAGAATAATAATAAAACAAATTATTCCTAAGACGCCATCTCATCATCGAAATATGGATTATAAAATTAATATGTTCAGATGCGACATTTCTGTGGGTACTTAAGTATAGGACCAATATATTATTATACGCATATTTTTTGTAGACACATAAGTTTTTATAAGAAGGCTAAATTTTTCATGTTAAAATCTGCTTATTATTCTTTTATTTTATTTTTGGGTTTCCATATCAAAGTCAAAATGGAATAAATTCGTCCATTTTTAACTCTCGCGTGCCCAGCATTTATGAACGACTCTTATTCTAATTTAAATAAATATATTTGTAATTTAAATGTTATATTAATATGTTTTGTTAAACACCGATTTAGTATGTGTTTTTTTTAATATTTGACATAGATATCTTTTAAAATATTCAGATAAAAATATCATTAAAACGTAATTGAGATATAATATTAAGTAATATTATATTAAATAAGCAAATATAAATATACAAAATAAATGACAAAATTTAAATTTTGTTCTCGATATAATTTACTCTTTAGCAATATAATCTACTATTACCTACAGTTCATTCTACCTATGTTTATTCAATTATAAAAAAACCAACCACGCGAACACAGAGTAGCACACGTTTTTTGTTTGAGATAGCTGTTCTAGTACGTAAGTACATACTACTTCAATGAAAAAACCTAATGATTTTGATAAAAGACCGCGGCTTATATTATATTTATTATCATATTATATAAGCCGCGGTCTTTTAACGGAACACCATGACGAAATAACAGAATCATCTAAAAATTGTGATGTGATTTATCACATGGAAGAGTTTATTTTTATTGATTTTGTTTATAATATGAATTTTAGGTCTTTTACTTATAAGGCTTAAAATATTTCAAAGTTAAATACAAAAAAATAAACAAAATGCAAAATGACCTACCTTGGAAACCATATAACTAGAAAATTAAGAATTGATATATCTACGTAATTTAATTTTTTTCATAGATTGGAAACAGCGGAACCACAGGAAAATCATTATTAGGAAATTATTGATATATATATATATATATATATATATATATATATATATATATATATATATATATATATATATAAATATGTAACGTAATAAACGCACACCCTCAGACACCTCAATTAGTATATTATGTTATAATCATAACACATACACTGAATTTTAGGTAAATATTTTTATGCACTGATTAATTATCAAATTAGTTATACTAATTCCGGAAGAATGTTAAGGTCACACTATAAATCCACGAACGCAAACACTTTAACGTGCTTGAAATAAAGTTCATTTTTATTCATTTTTATTGAATGACAGAATTAGTAATAATACAAATAAAACTGCACTCTTAAAAGTCTTATTGTCTTAAGTTTTTTTGACTGTACAGATTTAGTGTGACTGTAATTTACGTAGTTTTAATTATTTTAGGGATCAAAAATTACCTTTATTAAAAAATGATAAGAATCGATTCAGTAAACGATTCTGAACAAACTACTTTCTCAAAGTGCGTTAATTATGTTACATGTTGTACATAGGGAAGAAGCTTATAGTACACAGGTTACAATATATTTATAACGATTCACTAAAACGTTGTGAATTAAATCGCACACGGAGGAGCACGTAAACAGGCACACAAACTCAGGCCTAACCTCGCTAGTTCCTTAGTTTACCCTCACTGTCTTTAGATGGCACATTGATTGTTTAAATGTGTGCGTGCATCATACGAGGTCATTTGGCTCTTGTAGTCCCCTTATGTCGCCTCTACACGTTGGCCAACACTGTGGCGAATGGAGTGGCGAATATATTGGCCGAGAGTTGGTGACGGCGTCCACACGTAGTGTTGCCAATTTAGCATATTATATGCTAAATTTGACATATTTTCTTCTTGTTTAGCATATTTTTTTTGCTTTTAGCATATAGCATATTATTTCAGCATATTCTTATAAAACATGAAAAGAATGTAAATTACAATCTTTCTTGAAATAAAATTTGATATCGATACCTACCTCAATCAATTTCCCACTTCACTACTAGTGATTCACTAGCATGGCAACCCTTTTTTGAAGCGAATATAATATTCTCTGTGCTACGGGATTCCCCTTAGACATAGAGAATGGACTGAGCCCTTATTCAGGTATAAAGTAAATATGGACGAAGTACAAGAGAGCAAAGCGAATGTGCCGCCAGTTATTGTCTCTTTCTACGCCTTACCTGCGCCTTGCAGAAAATACACATGTATTGGCCGCGTATTCACTTTGTCTCTTTCTAGAGAGTGGTCAGTTTTGTGAGGGTGATGTCTATGGGATAGAATTCCCTTACTATTATCCATTCCCCAGCGCCTACGTCGCTTTCTGTCAAAAACATTGTTTATTGTTGTGGATGTGGACTCACTCATATCGTCGTCTCGTCTTATCCGTGTTTTCGTGTTCCTTTTTTATAATTTGATATTTTTATTATGGTGCCTAAGTATAGTCAACATTACCGGGCAGACTGGGAGAAAATGGCAGACTTTAAAGAGTGGTTGCAGCCCGTTGAAAACGATACTTCGAAAGCGTACTGTAAGTATTGTAAATGCGAAATGATTGCAAAATTGTCTGTTTTGAGGCTACATATTTCATCAGCAAAGCACAGAAAAGCAATAGAGCCAATGAAGAGTCAAAAAAAATTAACTTCCCTAAAGTAAAAAAAGATCTGAATACCCAGAAAGCAGAATCTTCGCTGGCTTTGTTTGTTTGCGAGCACTGTGCAATTATGGCTGTAGATCATTTATCGGAACTATGCAAATACCGATTTGTCGACAGCAAATACAGCGACATCAAGTTACATCGAACCAAATGCACGAATATTATTAAAAATGTTTTGGCACCACACTTCATTCAAGAAATTGTGACAGATTTAGGAGATCAGGAGTACAGTCTCTTAATCGATGAATCGACAGATATATTGGTACTTAAAATGCTTGGTGTTTCGATAAGATATTTCAGCCGATCATTAAAAAAGATAATTTCCACATTCTTGGGATTAGTTGAGATTGAAGACGGAACTGCAGACAGCATAGTGAACGGCATTAAAGGATTGTTGGCAGAAATAAAAATAAATTTAAAGAAATTGATCGGTATCGGTACGGATAACGCTTCGGTCATGACAGGAACTAACAGTGGAGTGCACGCATTGTTGAAAAATGCAACTGGTAATGACAATTTAGTGTTAGTCCGCTGCGTGTGTCATTCGTTACAGTTGGCTATGTCTCATGCTTCAGCAGAAACCCTACCAAGAAATGTTGAATTTCTTATAAGAGAAACCTATAACTGGTTTAGCCATTCATCAAACCGAAGACTCTTTTACAAAAACATGTTTCAAACGATCAACGGCGGCTCCGTTCCATTGACAATTCCACAGATGTGCAATACCCGATGGATATCAATTGAACCAGCGGTCTGCCGTATTCTTGATCAATGGATAGAATTAAAAACCCTGTTTGAAATTGCCAGGCGAGATGAACACTGCTATACGGCAGAAATACTATATAACATGTATAATGATCCACAGAATCATTTGTACTTATTATACATAAGACCTATCTTACAGGAAGTTCAAGTGGTAAACAAGTTGTTTGAAAGTAACGATGTTGACCCAACAAGATTGTACAATGATTTGATTGGCTTAGTGGAATCGATAGGTCGGCGTATTCTGAACCCAACGGCAAGGGTAGATATTTTAACAGAAGACATAGAAAGCTATTTAGATCCGAAACCATACATGGGATATGCTTTTGAGACCAAATTACTTGAATACAATCTTCAGCCTAATGCAGCAAACTATTTACGCCAACGTTGTAATAATTTCACACTGAAACTTGTGACAGAACTACGTTCGAGATTACCGGTTAATTTTAAAATACTTCAGAAGATATCCATGTTTTCAGTTCAAGAGACTTTAAAAGTAGTTAAGCCATCCATTGTCGAAATAGCCCAAGAGTTTCGAGTTAATGCACCTATGATTGAAAAACTGGTATCTCAATGGAGAAATATAGTTCACATTAAATGGGAATCCTTGACTTCCACAGTAAAGTTCTGGAATGAAGTCATGCAATATAAAGATGCAGCTGATAATAACCCCTTTGCAGAGTTATGTGAGTTTGCAATGTCTCTTATATCATTGCCACATTCAAATGCGTACGTTGAACGTGTATTCAGCCAAATGAGTCCGGTAAAAACAAAACTCCGAAACCGTTTGGCGGTGAGAACCCTGAATGCCATTTTGTACGTTAGGTTCGGCCTAAAAAAGAGCAGGAAAGTGCTGTTACTCTTACACTGTTCCAGACAATGTACTACGCAGTATCGGAACCAAAGAGTATTACGACTCCGGCTCTCAGCCTTCCACATCAGCTGATGTTGATGAAGATGAAGACCTTAATATTCTATTCCCTTGATTTAATTTCTCAATAAATACTGATACTTCTTAATTATGTTGGCATTTTTTTTGGCATTTTTTAGAGAAGGTAAGCATATTTTTGGCATATTTTTTACACCAGTCTAGCATATTTTGAAGTAGTTGAGTTGGCAACGCTGCCACACGTTGGAAGGTCGTTCAGTTTACTTCGGTTCGGGCCAATGTGCGGACGAATTTATAAGCACCGTGGCGCAGTGGCTCAGCAATGAGTGGCTGCACCGGGCGCCGCGGGTTTGATCCCGCACGGAACAAGTATTTGTATGTCCTAAAAATAATTGTTTCGGGTCTGGATGTGTGTCCTTGTGCAATTTATGTTTGTAAACTGCCTGCGCGATACGGGAGAAAATCCTAGTGTGGGGATAACGTTTTTATAAAAGAATTATAAAATAATAGTGGATATTAATGGGGTTGTAAATAGATATACGATATACGATTAGCTTTATTTATTCTTTACATGCATCATAAACTGGAATAAATACCATTAATAATAACTTAACTTATTTTAAAGTTAAAGGAGTTATAATCGATTAGTCTATGTTTTAAAATTGGGTTTTGATTCTAAAGTTTAGCAAAATATGTACTTGCATTTCTATCAGACATTTGATGTATTAAAACACCTTATAATTTATTTGGTAATTTAATTATTTTTTGAGAAAGACAAAAACAATAGCAATAAATATAATTAACACTGACTTAATAATAGGTACTAATTATAACTTAGAACATAAATGAAAAACTCATGACGAGCAAAGTGGCTCATGACCATGTTTTGAGGCAGTCTGTGGAGGAAGATGTTCAGTAGTGGACTTGTGAAGAGCTGTAATGATGATGATGATTGAAAACTTGCACGATTAAATTATAAGAAATACGCTTTTTTATAAAGGATAGGGTGACAAACGAGCACACAGTTCACCTGATGGTAAGTGGTTGCTGTGGCCCACAGACATCTACACCTATCTTCGATTATGAATCAAAATGCAGATGCGTTGTCACCCGTGAGGACTAAGATGAAATGCCTCGTTTTCTTTAAAAAGTGTCTCTGGTTCTCTACACTCACTATACGAAACACAGCATCATTAAGCTACTATTTTACATTGATATTCTGTGAGAGCGTGGTCCTTCCCCGGTCGAACCGACCCATTCGTGCTACAACTATACTTCTAATATAACTGCATGGTTCTACCACGTATAAACGACGTGCTTCATTTTTTTTTTTGATTTTAAAATTGTTCTCGTAATAATCTGATTGCAAATAAATGTTCATTATTTTTTTATAAATAGCTTATCGATTAAAACAAATGTTTAAAAATAATTAAATCGCGCGAATTAAAGTAGTAGGAATGTTTAAAGTGGAAATTGGCACTAAAAGCCTGGTAATTGGGTCATCCACCCTACAAAGCGTGAATATAAAATTTTAATCAGATGCGTGTAATCACTCTGGGAGCTTGTAGCAAACTAAACTCGCGGCCAACGTGTGGACGCGGTGACCAAACTCTGCCAACAATCCTTTGATCTTTTGTAAAAAACCGACGACACCACACGGATCTCGCGCCAACTTGCGGGCCATCGTTCCAATGCATACCAATGAAGCCCAAACACCCCGTCTACACGTTGGCCAATACTATTGGTCACTACATTCGCCAGTGTTGGCCAACGTGTAGATGCGCCGTTAAAGTGATTGTATAAAAGCTTTTTCCTCACTGGCAGATGGACGATCGCAGAACCAGATTTGACTATATTTTACGATTGGTATGAGATGATTACAGCGTCACCTATCGGAAATCATTATCATCATTATTGTCATCATCATCATCATCATTATCATTGTAGCTCTTCACAAGTCTACTGCGGTACATAGGCCTCCCCCAAAGTATGACACAAAACACGGTGTTTTGTCGCATCTATCGACTTCCTGCCTATCTTAATCACAGTGGAATTTTTTTTCGCAATCACAAAATAAAGAATTAGAGCAATCTTCAGTACTTACCTTAACAATAATTTATTAATTGTTATCTAATTGCTTGCACTGTTATACGTACACTTTTTAAATAAATTAATATTATGTTTGTTAATATTCGGCATTCGTTTATAAGGTACCTTAAAGAGGGAAAAACTTTTCGAATATCGGGATTTACGAACTTATTCATGTAATGTATATAATTAAAGTTTACTGGCACCAGTCATATTCGCTCTGTTCTGTTTTTTTTTAATTAATGATCGTTTATACATGGGAATATCACTTCAAATATTTAATGTAGTAAAATAAAATTTAAAAGGGCTCTTACTTTTTATTATATTACAATACAATACTTTTTATTGTACACCAAGAAAAGATAAAAAGTTAGAAAAATCCAAAAGTGCACGCCTCATAATCCCATTTAATTATATAAATAGAAAAATATCTCTATTTCCGTATGTGATCCGAAAGAAGAGATCCATGAGAATATTGTTTTTTAAACATTACCAGTTGTGTTTTACATTTTCATCAATTTCAATCAAACGAGACCAAATTACTTAGTGATTTTTAAAAGGAACCTGTTGCGTTGGGATTCTTAACCTAATAAAAAAAAAGAATTATTTTGATACATTAATTCTAACGACCGTAATCGTGCGCCATCCACACATACAGACATCCGGACTCTCTCGAAAAAAAATTTTCAATCAGTTTGTTTTTACGCTAAATACAGAAAATTACTTTTGAAAATAATAGAAACATGAAAACCAGTAATTTTTTTCGATTGTGCTTAAAACAGTTCCCACTAAAATGGACAACAGCATTAATTATTAATTCATGTGTCAGATGTAGAATATTTGATCGTTTTGGTTTCTACTACTTGAAATATTCAAATTAATGTATAATTTAAGGCTACCTATAATTTTAATAAAAACAATATCTTTTCAGCTTGTTATTTCCGAGATAATAATTTAAACAGAACCATGTAGTAGGCATGTCGATCAAAAATCGATTAATCGAAAAATCGATTATTCAGAAGTAAAATAATCCAGATAATCGATGCCGCACTACCGCATCGATTCGATGAACCATTCAAAAACCTCTCGAATCAGACTGATTCATCTGATTCAAAAACTAGCGATAAAGTTAATAGTTTATACTGGCTGGGGTTAGAAGTAAGATACCGCAGTTTTTTAATTTTTTGCTGTTGGCGGACGCAAAAACAACCAGTCGTAACTACTTGGTTGATAATTTTAACACAGTATACAACACGTAACATAATTAACGCACTTTGAGAAAGTAGTTTGTTCAGAATCGTTTACTGAATAGATTCCTATAATTTTTAATAATATAGGTAATTTTTTATCCCAAAAAAAAATTAAAACTACGTAAATTACAGTCACACTAAATCAGTCACAGTCAAAAGAAACTGAAATGGACCGTAACTTAAGGCAATAAGACTTTTAGGAGTGCAGTTTTATTTGTATTATTACTAATTCTGTCATTCAATAAAAATAAAGAAATATGAACTTTATTTCAAGCACGTTAAAGCCTTTCGTTTTTGTTTGCGTTCGTGGATTTGTACTGTGACCACAACATTCTTCCGGAATTAGTTAATAATAATATACTAATTAGGGTGTCTGAGGGTGTGCATCAGACAGAGATATGACCTGGATATGACAGACAAAGAACTTTATAAATACCTAGATACTGTAAATAAATATTAAATGTTGAAGTTTAAAAGAGGTTTATAGTTACGAAATAACCGGTATTGTTTTCGTGTAGCATTCATTTTAAGGCGACACCGCGGAAAAATGCACCTCTTTTCATCGAATGGCATAGGACCAAAGTATGACACCACTAACGAAAGTGGAATTTTTATATAGGTAAATTCATGTCTTTATCTTGAATATGCTTGTTCAAAAACACGATTGTATAAATTTGACTCGATAATAATTATTTGCGAAAATACCTCTAAAAATCACTATAGTTGAAATTACAACGAAATTACTTTATCTATATCCTTGGGAATCACTCAAATATGTTCATAACATAAATATTCATAATTTACTTGCTCATTATTTTGATTACTTAAATCAATAATTTTTTAAAAAATATTTTAAGATTCTGACAGTTTTAAGCGGTTTTAATCGTCGCGGGCGCTACGTAATTTTAGACCTTAAGACGGTGTTTTTTAAGTTTTTATAGAAATTATGCATTCACTTGGATCAGTAGGGCGATAGTCTGGAGCCACTTTTGCGATATGTCGCCTTAATTTGATAAATAGTGAGTTATTAGATTGAAACCAATTTATCGAGAAATATACGTAGCAATTTGCACTTTTGTTAAAGTATTGTTGTTCTTTTTAGCCTAAAATATCAAATAAGTGATACATGGAATGACTTTGTAAAAAAGGGATAGAATGGCGTACGCAAGTATTGTCATATCGAAGTAAAACATGCGGAACTACAATTTAAGTAACTATTTATTACGAAGACATCCATATATTAAGTCTGTCTTAACTATTAAAAATTCAACTATTTGTAGTTTTTACAATTCACCATTTAAGGCAGGCAAAGGTCTGAAACCATACAGCCTAGTCTAATGTGAATTTTAACAACAACAAACAAAGATATACGTTGTTAACTAAGATGGAATGCCACACAGCCTGTAATTATACATAAAACAAAAGGTAAATGTAACTATAAAGGTTAAATTTAAGAAAATATCGCAATTCTAGAAACAATGTTTGGAAATGTCGCGATTAATCGAAATCGATCTTTTAAACCTCGATTTAATCGGTTCTAGCATGTTCGATTCGAATCAATACAAAGATCGATTTTTTTAAGAGTGAAGCGACATGCCTACCATGTCAAATTAAGACACTCCTAACTACAATTATATCTAGTCTAGCCGGGTCATAAGTTCTGAATAAACCATATTTTTTTTTAAATTCGACTATAAGGTATTGGATACGAAAAGGGAATAGTTAAAGATTAATAAACAGGACTCGCGGCACAAAAATC